ATCCAACAGCGCCAGTTCTGCTTACCAAAAATGGCCCACTTGGCACTCACATTCGCTGTTCATTCTCAATGAAGTAGAAAAATGAACTTCATACCCATTTAAAGTTTGTCAATAGGTTGAGTGTATTTTACACCCAATGCCTCTAAACATTCGCTTTACCGGATATAACTGTAAAAATTGAATGCCAGCTATCCTGAGGGAAACTTCGGACGGAACCAGCTAGTTCCACTATTTATTTCAGTTTTTTCCAAAAAAACAACAAAAAACTGATAAAAAACAACAAGAAGAGAAAGATGACACGGTCTTCGAAAAAAGAATAGAAAGATCGACTCTACATAACACAAAAAACAAGACTCACTTTACAACATTAACTTTTCCTGAAACATCATTACCTAGATCGAGCGTCATACGAAACAAGTGGCAATCAGCACCGACCGGGAAACAATTGGGATGTGATATTCCGACCTATAAGGTCATCAGATTGAACTCACCTTACTTGTTACCCGATATGTTTCTATTCGATACTTGATCGTATGCATGACACATACTCATAATGGGAATTCAGGTTACAAAAAGACACACACACAGAAGGACACACACACAAGAATTAACACCATTATAAGTCACTACTATTGTCTCTAGAATTGTCAAATGTTAAACTTCTATGAAATGTTGACATTATCCTCAAGCTGTTCTCCATACAGCTAATTGCAACGAATCGAAGTTCCGATGTTGTGAAACCCAATTCATACCAGCAGTACAAATGTTTATGATAAAAAGATCCACGAGAGCCTACTGTTAATATAAGGATCTTTACATTTGGACAATTAAATTCATTTTTAATTATTTCTATTAGAGGTGTATATTTTTCTTTCTTGTGATTTTCAGCAAATATAAACGATGCGCCAGATGACTCGTATACACATTGTACATCGAGTATATATCCGTGATCTTCCTTAATTGCAATGATGTCTGGACGCAATATCCGAAAATCATTGGTACTCACTGTGTAGGCTTTCTCTACAAGTACCATATACCCTCTTTCTTTTAATTTATTCACGACCCGAGAGCAGATACGATTATGACGTTCATATATTAACCCTTTCATATTTTTACAAAACTGTAGTACGTGCATGATACTTTCTGGTTGTAATTTGCATTTCCTACAAGTTTTATCTACATCAAGTCCTCTATTTAACGTAACTTTAGTTGCAAGTGAATTTGTACGTAATTTAATGCTATTTATATATGTTCGACCAGTCATGGTCCTTGTTTCACCATCCAACCAACGATTAGTTATAGGACATGTGGAGAAAATCTCAAACCCATATCCATGAACTTTATTACTGTAAGATACACGTCTATCTTTCATCAATTCAACCTTCTTTTGTTTAAGATCATCCGATTCGTAGGAACTATCAAGTTTTAGATCGTTCATATATTTATATATGAGGTGGAATCCTTGTGTTTCCATAAGATATTTAAGGAAAGTATCGTCGGATCTCATGATATTCTTGTAGATCCTAACTTTTGCTAGACCCACAATATCTCTTAACACAGGAATTTGTAGACCACCTTCACGTATCGGAAGATAAAAGAATTCTATACTTAAACTACGTGTTAAATGAAGTATAGATCTAATGGTACGTCTTATGATTATATCAATCTGTTTTAATAATTTCGGATAGACTTCAAGATTGATTAATTGATAGATGAATAGAGGTATAATATGAGACCGAATCAAATTAATTTTTTGATGCGGTTTTAAAGATATCGAACATACCTTGCTCAAGATATCTTGTATTTTTTGCTTTGTAGCATTAATATTGATTGATCCAATAGACGTGAAATAAATTCCTAGATATTTTACATAATTTTCAACATGACCTAAGATCGGTACTGGTGTACCGTTAATATTAAATGCTACTTCGGTGGTAATTTTGCTTTTTTTACCTTTATAAGCTTTCTGTAGGCCTATTGACATACATTTATTAGCATTTACTTCGAGGCCACGCTGTTCTAGGAATTTTATTGTTTTGGACAACATTTCTCCCATTCCGATTCGAGAACCAGAAATAAGACATATGTCATCGGCAAAACATTTTATATTACTGGATCCAATATCTCGAATATTATACCCAAATTCGTCTTTTAATATACCGAGTAATTCATCGAGTACTAGGTTAAACAATATAGGCGAAAGAGAATCACCTTGTTTAACACCTCTCGAAATTTGAATTTTTTTAGAATTTAAGTTTTTATAACTTAATGTTGTATAACTATCGGTATATTGATTACGCACCAAATCAATGAAGGCTGAAGGAGCTCTATATCGATATAAAGCCCTATAGATAGATTCGTGTGGGATGGAATCAAATGCTTTGGCTACGTCAATGAAACATACATATAGTTCTCTTTTATTGAGTCGAGCATTTTTAAGTAAATGGTGTAGCCATAGAATATTGAAACTACATCCATTTATTTCTCTAAAACCCATTTGACGTTTATCAATTTGAAATAACCTACTCAACCTATGACCAATAATTTTATTGAAAAGCCGTAGAAGAATTGACGATATTGTGATCGGTCTCCAGTTAGTTATTTTATGGAGATCTCGATTCGTTTTCGGAATCAGAGTAGTTCGATTGAGTTTGAGGTCAGATGGAATCCTCTTGCAACCCAACCAAATATTAAATGCTATATATAACTCCTCTGATGCCATTATTTTAGCTTCATGAAGCGATATAAGATCGATACCTATAGCTGTATCTTTCTTAGTTTTCTTTATTGCCCATTCGATATCTAATTTTGTTATCGGTGACAACAATATTTTATTATTGATATCGACATCGGGTATTTGATCTACTGATTGTGTATCTTTCACATCTGTAGACCAAATCTTTTCATAATGCTTAATAGCTTCATGAATAGGTGGTGGATCGGTGTTAGGTGTAACACCGTCCATTAATTCTTCTAATAATCGAGGCTTATTATGCATGTATAAATTCATATAATAAGCCCGTTTCTTAGCTTTTTCAAGTCTGGTCTTACTACGAGCAGGCTTTTTCCTTGATATAAAACTAGTTCTTTTGAACTGTGGGTTTACAGTATGTTTTTCTCGATACTCATTTATAGATTGGTGAATTCCTAACATAGTTAGTTTCACCGGATCTTCTGTTTCATTGTGATTTACGAAAGCATTAATAGCATCTTTCATGTACTTTGATAGTGTATTCTGATGTAAAGTTAATATTTCTTTCATCAGGTTTTGTACAGAAATTACGTCATCACTTTCAGTTACAGTATCCATAGAGGAAACTGGTTCTATTACGATCGGTAAAGAATCAGTTATATCAGGACCTTGATTATTAAGGTTGCTTTTTAGGTCGGCGAGAATGGCTTTATATTCTGGTTGTTGCCTGCGACCTCGAATAGCATCTTTCGAACGAAGATTTGCATGAGACGCGGCAGCGATTTTATTCCATTCTTCAGTAAGACGATCGAGAATTTGACCCTTCTGTACTGCTTTCAGTGAAATTTCCAGATTGGCCAAGATCTTATCCTCGTCATTACTCCAACCTATACGAATATTTGCAACCTTTTTAGAATCTTCGTATTCATTAGGATGTTTTAACCGAAGATGTGTAGTAAGGCCCTTTTTATCTTTTGCTGTAAAGGTAATCGAATTTTTATAACATTCAACGCATTGTAGCGGAGGAATGTTTGGCATATTATCAGCCGTTATATTCGATTGTAAATTAGTATGTGGAGGAATTTGAACGCTAGCAGCAAGATTATTATTGTTATGTTGTTTTTTTCTTGCATGCCGGATAGTGTGATTTTATACTACTAATAGTATCATATTCTCTACCACAACCTTTACATTTATATTTTATATTAAGGATACTATGAACTTCAAGTATATGCTCACGAATCCTAAGATTATTGCATGGTAATGAATCATTACAGATTTCACAATTACCTTTTTCGATCGGATAATTTATCGAATAAACCGCAATAGGAGAAGCTTGAATACTTTCCGATGGTTTATCATTATCGATCTCCAATGATTCTGAATTCGCGTGTCGAGTATTAGAAGCTCGAGCAGCTTTACGTGTTTTCATAGGTAGTGCGATTCAGATAACTCTTTAGCAGGGTTGCAAGCCCGACCAAGAGTGGGGTGGGAACGTTGGCAAGATTACTAAGTTGGTTTACCTATCGTATGTTCAATGAACTATCAAAAAACAGTTATTGAACACCGTACAGAGAAACTGCCAACCCTTCGTCTATCCGAGGCAACGTGCAATCACAACTGATGTGCAATCACGGACGTGTTCCCTATTCCAATCAAACGCACGCAGGGGCCCGGCCAAGCCTTTCACAGTGCTATCATCCTCAAATGCTATTAATAAAAATAACATGCTTGATCTGGCGCCAAGCTCGAATGGAGCTGATAACCAACATTACAAAGTCACAGAGAATATCTTTCAAACTAAGTCAAACAAGACAATGGAAAACGAAAAACACATATTCAATCTTCGACAAACTCTAATATCCTCATATCAATGCCCTCTCAAGACCTAGTACCAGCAGCGCCAGTTCTGCTTACCAAAAATGGCCCACTTGGCACTCACATTCGCTGTTCATTCTCAATGAAGTAGAAAAATGAACTTCATACCCATTTAAAGTTTGTCA